TTCCTTCAGCGCTTATGCCGTTAGAAAATGGGACTGTGGCCGCCCCAAGCGGACTTCTTGCCCTACCAGGGCTAAGTAATTCCGTTTGAAATGATGTTTTCACTTCCTCACAACTGGGGATTTCACAATCCAGCCGCGGCAGGAGGGAGGGAGGGAAGATGGAAGAAAAAAATAAAAAAATAAAAAAGCCACCAACAATCTCTTGACTTGGGATTTTTATCTCTTCTGAAATAAACTGCTTCCTACAGCAAATCGCACTCGAGTCGGGTACATAATTTATCTCCCACAGCCTATCTGCTTTCTCAGCGGTTCTTTTGCCTGTTGGCCAAAATAAACAGACACCGCTTGTTGACACACATCTTTGGAGACGGGCTAGGCCTTCCCTTCAGCCCTTGTCTCCCACCCTCCTCTCTCCTGCCTCGAGCCGGGGAGTCCACAGAGTCTCCCGACGTTCAAGTCCTTGCGTTCCCACTGCAGGACAGCGGGGTGGGGTGGAACGGTGTTTGGGACTGGGATGTGCTGACCTGCCCACCGAGGGGCCGCGCCCTGGGGCGGGAGCTGGCTGACCTGTGCGTCGGTGAGGCCCAGCATCGCGGCCAGCTGCTTTCGGTCGGGCTTGGTCACGTACTTCTGAATCTCAAACCTCTTCTCCAGGCCTTTCCTCTGCAGGTTGGAGAAGACGGCCCTCGACCACGAGCGCTTCCTCTTGTACGTCTGGGGCATAGTGTCCTTGGTGAGCACAGCGTAGGGACCTGCCGGGGTGGGGCAGGCAGGAGCAAGCGAGAGAGAGACACACAGCAGGACCGGGTGAGTGCTGGGGCCTGGGGCTCAGGGTCCCGCTTAAAACTGCTCTGCTTAACCACGACCCTACCCGCCTTCACAAAGCCCTCCTGCAAGGAGGAATCTTAGGGCTTCTGAGAAGTTAATGGAAAGGCCTGAAGCCGGCGGACGGTGAGTTCGAGAGGCCCAGCGGTTCCCTCCGTTAACTCCAAAGGAAAACTGTAAACCTGATGCTGGGCCATCAGGCCTGGGACGTGTAGGGGAAAACGTCCCTGGGCCTGAAGGATCTAGAGACCTCAGCCTGGGTTCACTCTCTCTCCCTCCCACCCCAGTGTGTGCGTGTGTGTGTGCGTGTGTGTGTGTGTGTGTGTATTCTTCTGCCCAGGGGGGCAGCCGAGATGCTGTCTCCTGGAGAAAAAGGGTTTGGGGTCATTTCCAAACGCCTGTATCCTAGCAAGCAACACCTCCTGTGGCTGGCTTTTCAAAGCACGCTCTCCCCAGAAAAGGCTAGAGAAAGCCCACCCCCTTACC